GAACAAAAAAAAAAAAAACTGCCTCATATCTGTTCAAATGGCTATTATCAAGAAGACAAGAAATAAGCATTGATGAGGATGTGGAGAAAAGAGAACACTTGTGTACTGTTGGGGGAACTATAAACCAACGCAGTAGTATGAAGGTTCCTCAAAAAATTAAAAATAGAACTATCATGAGATCCAGGAATTCCACTTCTGGGCATTTATCCAAAGGAAACAAAATCATTACCTGAAAATATATTTGAAACCTCATGTTCATTTCAACATTATCTATAATGGCCAGGACATGGAAACAACTTAAATGTCCATCAGTTGAAGAATAAAGAAAATGTAATATATAAATATATATGAAAATTCAGCCATAAAAAGGAAGGAAATCCTGCCAGTTTCAACATGGATGAAACTTGAGAGCATTATGTTAAGTGAAGTAAGTCTGACAGATAAATGTCACATGATGTCGCTTAAAACTGAATCTTTTTTTAAGATTTAAAAAAATTTTAAGTAATCTCTTCACCCAACGTGGGGCTTGAACTTAGAACCCCAAGATCAAGAGTCTCATGTTCTGATGACTGAGCCATCTAGACACCCCATAAGTGGAATCTTAGAAATAAAATGAAACATAGATACAAAGAATTAATGGTTGTCCGAGATGGTGATTGAGGGGTGAGATGAGATGAATAAAGGTGGTCGAAAAGTACATACTTCCAGTTATGAGAACTGGGGATGTAATTTGAAGCCTGGTGACTATAGTTAACAGTACTGTATTGCACATTTGAAAGTTGCTAGGAGAGCGGATTTTTAAAAGTTCTCAACATCTTGAGATGTTGTCACCATCTGTCACCATACAATATCATTACAATGTTATTGACTGTATTCCCTATGCTGTTCACCTTATCATAGTGAACATTGAGTAATGTATAGAATTGTTGAATCACTGTGTTGTACACCTAAAACTAACATATCACTGCATGTCAACTATAATTCAATAATAAAAATTTACAAAATAAAAACATCCCTAAAGAAGTTTTCATCACAAGAAAAAAAATGTAACAATGTGCGGTGATGGTTGTTAACTAATTGCAATCATTTCAAAATATATACATATATCAAATCATTATGTTTTTTACCTAAAACTAATAGAATAGTATATGTCAATTGTGTATCAACAAAAAATAAAATTAATAAATAAAACCCTGCTAGATATTGGCCCAATTTCTTAGTTTATTTAAAGAACTGACTCTTTAGGCACCTTGGTGATTTGGTTGCTTCTGACTTCAGCTCAGGTCATGATCTTGCAGTCTGTGAGTTTGAGCCCTGTGTCAGGCTCTGTGTTGACAGTCCACAGCCTTGAGCTGCTTCAGATTCTGTGTTTCCCTCTCTCTCTACCACTCCCCTGCTCATGCTCTGTCTCTCCCTCTCAAAAATAAATATTTAATTTTTTTAACTAAAGAACTGACTCTTTAAAAAATTCTTGTTTACACTATTTTTTTTCTGAAAAAATTTTCTCTAATTTCAACTTGTCCATATTCCATCTACTTTAGAGTAGTTGACCATTATTTTCTGTGTTTGGTTTTGTTTCGCTGTGTGATGGAGTAGGTCTATTATAATGTTTTCAGTTTCTTAAGTCATACAAGTATTTATCAGCACATACATATGCCATGCCAGTCCCTACGTTAAACATCAAGGAATTGATAAAAATGACAGATACAGTTTTTATTTTTAAGTATGTAACAATCCATGAAGAGAGAAAGAAACTAAAAATATTTATAAACAGCCTGTGTACATTGTGTGAACAGTCTGGGATGCTGCTGTAACACTGGGAGAACATGGCTGTGCTTTTGAAGGCTAGAAAAGCATTTCCACCAGAAGCGGTGTTCATGAGTCAGATGAAGGCTCAAGGTATAGGGGGACATAGAAAGCTTTTCAAGCAAAGGAAACACTAAACTGTATACCAAGTTTATTTGAAATACACACGTCCAATTTAATAATGATACTACAAAAGTCTTTTTCCTCTCTAGAATAGCTTAGAGCAGGTGGCATTATATTTTATATTAAGTTTTAAAAGGCGCTTTTTCCCTCCATGAATTTAATAAAATGAAGTTCATTACAGTGAAATATGTGTGTGGTGTTTGTAAAAAAGTGACATTCCAGTTGACAGAACAGATAAAATGTATCACATTCTGAGAAATTAGGAACTCTTTCCCAGCCACAGCAGTCTAGAGATTCACCACACTGTCATCCAAGATGAATAACAAGGATTTGCAGTCCTTTCTGAATGACCTCTCCCAGCACCTTGTAGGTGAAACTTTTGGAAAATATTTGGCAAACCCTCCAACATTTTATTTATGCCCAGTATGAAAATCTAAGAAAGGTATTGAATGTTCCCACCCCATGCTGGGGCAGATAACTGCTGGACCAAATGTCATAAAATAACACTGATGCATGCTAGAAAGCCTCCTCCTTTAGGTCTGGCTGCCTCTGAGATAGTATAGGAGGTGAGCAGCCCTGCCCATGTGACTTGCTGGGGTCAGCTCCTCATTTCTCATTATAAGGTCTTTCTCCTTCTGCAGAGGTTCAGGCCTCTAGGTCATGGGTGATGTGGTTGTGTCTGTGAGCTTGGGCAGCTTTGGAGTGGTTCTCCCTGTCTCTCATAGCAGTGAGCAAGGTGAATACAAACACAGGGGGTTAAGTGGGAGGTGAGGGACTACCTGCCCAGTGACCTCTGGGTTTGACTGAAAGAAGTGTACAGGAGTTACAGTTGCTGCCAGGAGTCAACCCAGCAGTGAGGAAAGCAATAGGACATTAGACAAAATGACCAGCACCCTGCCATGGCAGGAGTGACAGCTGTGGCCCTGCTCCAGAAGTGGAACATCCTGGATATCCCCATTATTTTAAATTTAAATGGGGCAGATTTGTTTTGATTTTGTAGAGAATTTTTGGGTGATGAGAAGTAAATCTTTAACATTTCTAAAATTTCTAAACAGATACCTTGGCTCTGGGTAAGTTGGTGGCATCAAAGGTCACCCCTGCCTGAGTTACTGCAGAAATGCCTTGCCATGGGAGACTTCACAGTAAGTCTACTAACCTGGAGATGGATTTCATCTGAGCACGTGAGACTTCTTGAGCATTTTTAGCACCTGCATCTACCTATTCAGTTATGCCATTAAGTGTTAAGAATCCTAGCTTTCAATCCAGACTGTAATCCTTCACACAAATACAACTCTATTTACTTCTTTGGGGGGGCGATGTCACATATGTGTTCCCTTTATTAGGTCTTTCTCCAGAAAAGATTCTGGCTTTAAAAAATGATCTTTTCCAATATTCTGAAGTTTGAAGGCTTTATGGCCATTTTAAAGGCCCATTTCTTGCTCCACTCCCTTGCAGGATTGAAAGCTTCATAATGAGATTTATCTCATCATTGCCCCTTACCCCCATCCTCACCCCATTCCACCCTGGGAGGGATTGCCTAGTGGCCCATTGCGATTTAAGAACTGCTGGATCACATATGTCCTAATAGGCAACCTTCCCACCCCAATTCCACCTCCCTCTCCTAGGTAGTCTCCTGTGTGTTCCTCTGACATCACTGTTCAAGAGAAGGCACTTTCACCTCAGTCCTTCAGGGAAGACCATGTTTCAATTCTTGGCTTCACTGCTAAGCAGTAATATGATCTGGTTAAGTCCATTAATCTCTCTGAAACAAAGTTTCTTGATTTATACAATCAGAATAAGATTGCTTCCTCTAAAAAGATTAATGTGAGGATTCATTAGAAAAATTAAATCCCCAGCCTGTGTGTGAATTTGCATTTTGGGGGTAGGGAGCTAAGAGTACATTCTCAAACATGGAATTTTAGGAATGAAATTAAAAAGCAGGAAGTGTGGGGCAGTTGTAGGCAGGGAGAGAAATGTATAGGGCCTGACTTATTCTGTGTGGATTCAAATCCTAGCTCCTCCTCTCACTAAGCTTTATGATCTGGGGAAAGTTAATTACATACTTTGTTCCTGTACTTCCTCCATGGTGCAGATATGGTAAGTGCCTGCTTGAAAGGCTGTTTTAAGTATTAAAGACAAAGAGAAAATATACATAAAGGACTTTAGCACAATGCCCCATTTTTAAGTGCCCACAAAAGTCAGCTAATTTTAATAAAATGTAGAAAATGTAAGAAAGGAACTGTAAATATCAACCCTTGTTTCTATGTGATGTGATTATGAACATTTTTGCTGTTTTTACACTTTTCTTTGTCAGTTTTGAGATGAACATGTAAGTTACATTTTTAAAAAACTTCACACATTTATGAGTAGCGATAGAGCAGTGATTTTCCCACCCTATTAGATGAAATTACCATATTTGTACAGTTGGTACAATGTCTCATTCCCAATCCATACTACAGTACTAAAAAGATAGAGTACACTTTTCCAAAAATGATTGTATCACAAGAATCTTTAATGTTTACTTTAAAGTTTACTCATGGTGGGGTTGTATTTGTGTTTAGTAAACTGTGCCAAGTGCCCACATTGAGGTCGTTTCAGTTCACATCACTGCACTCCACATGGATGTTTACTGTGCCCAGCGAGGTCATAAAGAGGGGGGCCTTGACTCTCCTCTTGGTTAGGCCAGCTTTACTGGTGAGTTCTTCCAAACTCTCCAGAAGTAGTCTACCTAATACACATCATCCGTTCCATATAAAAGAATAAGATGGAAAATTTCTCAATGTATTTCATAAGTTTAGCACGTCTCTGGTACAAAAATTCAAGAAAGGTAGCACAAAAGCGAAAGCACCAACCGAGCTTACTTATAAACAAACATGCATAAATCCTGCACACTATCTAATAGTACTGAACTGAATACAACATTGCATTAAAAAGTATAAAAGCACTGTACTGAAAACTTAAAGTTACACGTGAAATACTGCACTGTAAATCCTGAATACTCTATTGTCCCACCCCCACCCCTCCACCGCCCTGGTGAGGGTCAGAAACCATTAATCTGCCTCCAGACCTTGCTAGTCCTCGGAGACACTGCTGCGGGGGCAGTGGGCAGTGGGATCAGCCTCCCGCAGAGCTCTGGCCTCCTCCAGAGCCTCTCTGTATCGGGAAGGCCAGGCCTGGGGGTCTTTCTTAAAGACCCTGGCCAGGAACTCCATGATTTGCATCTTGGTGATTTCACGGCTGGCACGGGAACCCCAGAAGAACTCGTACTCAGGTGGCTCAACGTGGGGTACGCGCTGGTATTTCAGGTAATTCTGTTGGACGAACTCCTCGGTGATGAGCTTTCTCACATCTCCAAAGGTGGAGTGCTTCTTCCAGGGCCGTAGCCCCAGGATGCGCAGCACGTTCCAGACGGCACTCTCTCTTGCACCGCGACCCTTCACATAGATGAGGCTCAGAATCATCAGCAGGAGGCCTGTCATAGGCATACGGTTGCTCAGCGCCACCCTGTCCAGCTCTTCCGGCTCAAGCGCTTTGACAAGCGAAAACTCCATCGTGTGCAGGCTAGTCAGCCTCAGGTGTAGCCCGAACACTCGTGCGAGGATGAGGCTGGTGCGTCTGAGAATGCTTCTGCACCATTTCTTGTAACTGCCGATGACATCCTTCACCATGTCTGGGAACCAGATGATCATTCTCTTCTGATCCTTGACCAACACGTACCACATGAGCTCGTGCGCCTTCTGCACCAGCTGGGCCGGGGCTGGCGGCGCTGGGCCAGGCTGGGCCGCTGGGGCTTGGTGGGCGCGGCCTTCCTCCGCAGCCTGCTGCAGGGCCTTCGGGTCTCCCTCCTCGCTTGGGGCCTGGGGCGGAGGCGAAGGCAGCGGGGCTTCGATCGGGCCTAGAGGAGGGCTCTCTGGCGCTGCGAGGGTCGCGGCCTGAGACGCGGGCTGGGAGGGCCCCCCGGGGACCCCAGGACTGATGTGCACCTCGGAGTTGAGAGCCTGGGGTGCAGAGTCAGGGTCACACACATCCTTACTTTGTTCGGACATAACGGCTCCCTCTGACAAGGGCAGGGCCTTTGCGTCCAGGAGCTCTTCGAGACTGCGCTCCCTCCGCGGACTCCTGGAGAGGAAGTGCGCGTTGCTGCGCGCGGCGCCTTCCGCAGCAGCCGGGCGGGGCGGGGCGGCGGCGGGACCCGCCACTGCGCTTGCGCGTCCGCAGGCTGAAGGCTTGACCGCAGCAGGGGGGTGGGGCAGGCTGGGAGCCCGACGGGGCGGTTGTGACTTGAGGCCCCACAGAAGTAGTGGGGAGCACCCTGAAATGGGGCAGCAGTGACCCGCAGTTGTCCCCTTTGAGCTGAGGAGGTGGTGGGAAGGAGTGGGGGGGGGGAGATGCAAGAGCACTGGAGAAGGAGCGCTAGAAAGTTTAAGAGCATAGATGGTAAGTTAAGTTTCTAAGATAAGTTTCTTCAGTTTCTTGGGAAATGTTTAATTGGGTGTATGCAGAATCACGGTAGATATAAAAGTCCCAGAGAAAGTTCTAGGCTGGTGTGTAAACTTGAGTTTTGTGACAATGAGTGTGAGACTTTAAACCAAGGGAAAGATCGGGATTGCCCAACAAAAAATGTAAACTGAGAAGAGGTTGGCACAGATTCTAATCCTGAGAAATACCGATAAAAATTGGTGGAGTCTCTGCTACACGGGGAGGTTATAAAATGAGAAATGCAGAATTTAGTCAATCCATGTGCAAACAGAACTTTCTTGGATATGATAAACGAATGACATTGCTAGTGTTTTCATGGTCATTGATTTTGGTTTTCTTTTACTTCCCTCGGTTCACTTTGATTTCCTTTAATTTTTCCATTAAGAACCCATCACACAAAGATTGTCATATTTATTAGAACAACCTTTTTTCCCTATCTGTCCAGCACCCTTCCTTCCCTAATGACAAAACTTCTTCTTGTCATGGGATCCCACCCCTACCCTCTCTCAGAAACTGGCTGGTCCTATTTGGAAGCCGCACCCAAATCGCTTCCAACTCTTTTTTTTTTTTTTTTTTCACATGGGTCCCCTAAAATCATAACTGGCAATATCTCTCATGACCAAAGAGATGCTACATATTTATGGTCGTGTGTGTGTGCGTGCGTGTGTGTGTGTGTGTGTTGTTTTGTGCTGGTTTTTTTTTTTTTTTTTTTTTTTTTTTTTTTTTTTTGTTATTGTTGTTTGTTTTGTTTGTGTTTTTTTTTTAATTTCAGAGAACAGATCCACACTGAGCAAAAATGAAGTTGACACTCCCAGGGAAGCAACTATGAAGAAAGAGGTGGGTGTAAAAGCCTCTGAATCCAGGGTTCCTAAGGCTGATAAGGATCCCTGGTCTGAGCCAATGTGGTCCTTCAGCTCTTCCTGGGCTTCCTCAAGGGAACAGCTTCTTCAATATGTGCTGTCTTGAGTCTGTTATTTAAGCATATTTAAAGTATTGTCTTGACATTTCCAGAGTCCTCTTTGTATTTACTTGTATCAACTTTCTCATTTCACACTTTATTTATTTTTTTTCACAAGAAGATTGGCTTAGAATTGTTTTCATATTATTTTTCTATCTTTGGATTTTCATGCTTGCTTCACCTTTGGCAGGACAATGCCTCCAGTAGATCTCCTTAACCTTTCATTTCACAGGGGTAATTCCTACAGATCGTTCAGATATGCCTTAGTTGGACTTTTTCCTATTTATCATTTTCTTTTTATTTAATATATGGATTTCTATTTTTTAATACATCTTACAGAGTTGTGTCAGTTATATTTGTTGTTTTATTATTTAAAAATAGCTATTGAATCAATTTACTGCCCTTATTCATCTTAAAACAATCCTCATTTTATCTCCATTAGTTTTCTTCTTTTTTTTCTTAAATTTGGATTTTTTTGCGGGTTAACTATTTGGGTTAACTAGTTCATTTAAGGTATTTAAAAAAATTAAGCTTATATATTTATTTTAAGAGAATGAGAGAGAGTGTGAACATGGGAGGGACAGAGAGAGAGAGGGAAAGAGAGTATCCCAAGCAGGCTCCTTGCTGTCAGTGCAAAGCCCAACTAGGGGCTTGAATGCACAAACCATGAGATCATGAACTGACCCAAAATCAAAAGTTGGACGCTTAACTGACTGGGCCACCCAGGCATGCCTAGGGTATTTTTAATAATGAAAATGTTGGAGTCTATTATTTAAATCTCAGCTCAGCTTTGGATATGAGCCATAAGTTTTGCCATTGTGAGGTTATGAAAATTACATCCTCATATTTCATCTTTCTAGATTTAATAGATTCATGAAGTTAAATTGCAAGTTTGGGCACAAAATTATAAATCTATAAAACACTTACATATAAAAAGTATGAAAGCAATTTTAAAAACAATTATAAAAATATATGAGCTCCTGCAGTATATCCTGCTTCAGTAGGATATCAGAATTCTGACCAAAGAGTTTGCTTGGGTTTCAGTTGCTGCCTGAACTGGAATGGGCCTCATTCTGGTGAAGGTGCCCATGGCGAACAATGGTCACCCACCTCTACCACAGCTCACTTCACACCCTATTTCTGACAGGAGGGTTGTTTAATACTGTACCAGTGCCTGTGTATTATGACCTCTGTGAAGGAGGATGCTCAGAGGGTTTAAAGAATCAAAACTGATACTCAAGCTTGAAACCATGTACAGGGTAGACCCCTAGTGCTGTTCACTCTTAAATACCAAATGTTAACATTGTCTTTCCAGAAAATAGTATGCTGAAGAGACTCAATTTCCTATCAAGAAGAAACTTCAATGGGGGAGGGTAAGAAAAAATAAAGCTTGGGGTAGCCTTTAAGTAGAAAAAGTATACCTGCACATGTGTCATGGAAGGAGTCAGTAGCTTGATAGGTACCTAATAAGGTACCTACCCATAAACCAAACATGCATATCTTCAGAATGATAAGAAAAAGGAACGATGACACAATAGAAAAGATGAGGAAGTGAATATGTATGGGACATCCACAATTTCCTTAATTTAAGGGTCAAGATTTGGAGCTGTAACTCCAGTGATGCTCTGAGAACGTTGAGGATAACTTAGGCTTGCTGGGTATCTCCAGGGTCAGACCTATTTGATATGGGCAATGAGTTCTTTCAGGCCTAAATTTTGGAAGCAAAATCCTGACCTTACAAAATATCTGCTCAAATAAATCAATGAATGGCTACTCTTTAAATCAAGATTCTGTAAGTAGAAGTTCCATGGATGTATGAAGTATATGGAGAAAATTATAACATATTCTGGTACAGATACTTTTGCTGGTGGGATAGTTCAGACTCTGTAATGTGGAACACATTACACAGCTGTGGAATAGGCTGTTCTTGGCAGACTCTGGAGTAGGAGGAGAAGCCTGTCCTGGCACTTGTTTCCATAGTGAACAGAGGAAGGGGGGTCATTCCAGAGCTTCCAGTGGACAGCATGCATGCTCACAGTGAAGAGGCCCAGAGGCCCCAAATGAAATGTGAATCCTTCTGGCTCTTTCCTGTCAACATAGGCAGCAACTTCCACCTTGGAGCCCCCATTTGGGCCCCAAATGCCTTGCAGGCCAAGGAATTGAAACAGAGAACTCACATTAATGTGTTCAGCAAATATTGAGCAATGACTATCATGTGCCTGAAAGATTTGCATTTTAGAAAAGTAGCTCAGTCTGAGGGGGAAACAATTGGACTATTTGGCAGGTTGGCCCCTTTGTGTTAGAAAATAGTAAGTGAGGACAGGAAGTGCTGCTTTCCACAGTTGGGAAGGGGGAAGGGAACACAACCCTGGTTTCTCATCTTCTCTAGTCTCCCAAGGGTGACACTGCACATGCCTGTCCAACTGAGGCCCAAGAACACTCATTGAACGGGAGACCTTCTAGTCCTTCCCAGACCCACAATACAGCCTGCCAACTCTCAGGGACTAACCAGGTTAGGATTATCTTTTAGGAAGATCAACTGGAATCAGAGTTAAGACTTGAGTTGGAGGTAGGTAGACAGGGAGAGACAGACAAACCAATCAGGGGACCTTTTGGGGGACTCCTCTTGACAAAGGATGATGGCTTGAATTTCATCTTCATTCTGCAACTATTAAAGTCTACATTTCAGGCATTGTACCTGGGGTTATAATGAGAAGGAGAGATGTGATCTCTGCGATCTGTACTGAATGGAAATGGTGGAGAAAAAAGATCATAAACAAACAAAAATTGATAAATAATTATTATGCATAATGATATGGCATAACATACTGCGAAGAGCCACAATGTTGTCACAGAGGATGTGACAGAGGAACAGAGGAAACTTTTGTTCATTAAGGATGCCAAGGAAGACATAAATAATAAGAAAATGTAAGAGAGACTATGAATATCAGGTATGGTCAGGATTCTGTCTTGGGGGATGTCTGAGATGGAGCACTGCCTTGTGGCTAGGATATGGGGGCACCACCTCCTGAAACTATCTGTAGATAACTACCTGAGGGAAGAAAGTAGACATGACAAGCAGATATCTGGATATATAGGTCTCATAAAAGAGGCCTGGGCTAAAAAGATAAGTTTGGAAGATAGAGATGGTAATAACATCACCCTGAGAGAATGTCTAGAGCAAGGCTCTTCAAAGAGAACCATCTATCATAAGGACAGGACAATTTTTCATTATGTGAAATTATGTGATAATCTTTCATTATACATACCACAAAGGTTCATACCTCTGTCCCCTTCACACATGTATAAATGACTTCCAGACATGGGAGCAACAAAAATAAAGTGTAAGAAAAGAAAAAAATGCACACCTTCCCTGTACACTGCCAAAAGCCCTTTTATGGGCAGTACAGTTTTCTAGTTGAGAACCGCTGAAAATGACAAGCAGGGAGGAGTGAAGAAAGACAGATCCAACCAGCAGGTCCAGGTCATATAAGCCTCTTTCCAAGCTATCATATGACTTTCCTCACGGGATCTATTTCTAGGACATATTAAAATAGATTATTTCATGTTCAACAATTATCTTGAAGATAAATCCTATTCAGTCAGACC